ATACAAAACTATACATTTATTAGAATTAAAATAAAATAATACACGAGTCTTGTTTTAATCGTTCTAACTTAATATTTGATTTGGTGAAACATATTACCTATTCTAAATCAAAATCATAAGATAATTAATATAAATGAAAATATATATATATGTACTGATTACCGACTGTCGAATTTGATAGATATGGTAATAGATTCGTAATGTACTGTCGGTAATTGCCTAATACTGTCGATAATAGATCTGAAGTGTGGTATTGCACAAAAAAGGGTTCCGCGGGACGTTACACAAGGATAAATATTGTAAATTTGAGAGAACTTATTTCTGTTTTTACATGTATTAAAACTTGTGGCTATTCTTAAACATCCCCCCCACGCTCGATCTCGATGAAACTTTGACCCATTAATGGGGTGGGGGGTGGGTGTTGAATATGATGATGCAATACCAATCTGCGGAAGCGCCCCCTAGCGGAGATATGAAAATTTGAAAACTGCCATTGCCGGTCTCACGCAATGCCTATAATAGTACTGTATCAATGCAGTCCCCATCACAATCGAATATTCCTCACCTCGAGAATCTTCGTCAGCCCTCAAATCTCTAACATCTAAGGGTGAATATCGGTTTCATGCTGTCCCTGGCTCATAACGCCGTCACTTGCTTACACAATTGCTCCTCACTTGCTCACTCGCTTGCTCACTCACTTGCTCACTCACTCGCTAACTCACTTTCTCATAGCCTCATCATTCACCTACTAGCATTCATTCCGTTCACTTTACCATACAATAACTTAAGGTTAAGTTAGGTTAGGTTAGGTTCTTCAATGTTAAATCATTTCATCAGTCTCTTTTTGCGATTCCTGGAAGATTCTTTCGCTGATCGAGCTGCAAAGTCATTCCGAGCAAAAGAAACTCCTTTTCTTGAAAAATCCCCCTCAACTCGGGGCCCAATGTCCCCTTTCTCCATCAAAAGACCAGTCCAAAGCATTGAAATGTTTTCTTCAATATCTTCGCTAGGGGGTGTTTCTGCAGTTTGACATTGCATCATCATATCCAATACTCCCCCCACTACTGATCTGTGAAGTTTTATCAAGATCGGGCGTGGGGGGGATGTTTAAGTCTTACCAAATTATTATGTATATCATTTACGTTTTTTTTCTGTCACTACATACGTAGATGAATAAGACAACAGATTGATTGAGGATTTTACATTCAAGGAGTAGGTCATAAATTTTGCAATCGGCATTTTTTTAATAACTGCAAATGATCGTATATTGAGCGAATACTTCAGTTTCATCATAATTAAGCCCCATTTGCTTCGCGTTTTTATGAAATAGCTTTCGTATATTGTACGTTTAATCTGCTGTTTTAAACTCCTGCATTTTCCTGAATAGTCGGCGTTTCGATCGAAATTAACATACTACCGTAATTAAGTTGAGTCGATAATTCATTAAAGTCCTGATATAATGATGTTTTACACAATGCTATATTTTTAACGTTGAATACGGAACAGAGTGGATGTAAATAGCTGAAATGCACAATTGAACGTTTAAAGGTTGAACGACAGCCAACAAATTAGCGAGCAAATCGTTTATCGGCAAACTAGCAGTCTTCTTTTCTATTTCCATTCGTAGTTTCGTGTTAAATACGAACGATATTTATTTTCCATTGAAAAATATTTATTTTCAATTGAAAACATGAAATACAGAAAACTCGATTAATTTGATGTTTATCAGAGGAACAATGAAACTGAACAGAATTGAAATAAATCTGACTCGAAGCATTCATCGTAATGTAAATATTATTTTATTAATATTGTAAATAACAAAAGTCAGATAAAATTTTGAAATAATAGAATTTCAAATTGAATCTAGAAACAAAAGTATTTTTGGTTTGGTGAATCAACACCATTGGATGTTAAAGATATAAATATTTTTATCTATTTTAATTAAATAGAATAAATATTTTTATAAATCTTATTAGATACATCATTGAGTGACTGCAGAAGTTTTGATATGATTTTTAATAGTAATTTAATTAATTCTATATCGATTTTTGTCTTTTCAATAATCTCATCGACTGACCTCGTGGATTTGTTTTCAATGAAATCTGAATTAAGTCAATGTCAATATTACTTGAACTTTGCTTTGTCAGATTTATCAAATGTATTTTGATTAAATTATACGATGCAACGTTTTAAGGTGATTTCAAACAGAGCAAATTTCATATGCCAATGATGGCAACAGAAGCTCGTATGACATAATGTATTGAAGATGTATGTTGCTTACGCTCATATTCAACAATTACATTTATAACTAATAAATACGTCAAAACAGATATCATCCATTTAAGCAGATTATCATTTTTTATTAAAATTGCTATTTCTTTGCCTTCAATGTCTTCCGAAGGTCATGGTATGCTAGGTCATTGAGTTCATCTTGAAACTGGCTATAATACTATTAAGTAAAAAATACAAAATGCTATTTTAAAAATAGGAAGGTGATCTAGACAATTATAAATAATACTGTTTAAAGTTCTTTTTGTCATTCTAAGAGGATCAATACTTGTTTAAAATAGTCTTTTGTTATATTATTGCAAGTACTTGAAAAATTGTGGAAAGTGTTATGTGGAATACCTTATATATCCTACTCAGGAATAGTAAGATAATAGAATTTTGTAATTAATATTATTATGTTCCATATAATAATTGAAATCCAGCAGTTTAAAAATATGTATTCTACTCCGGTATAGTAGGATATGGTTTTACGTTTTCAGAACTGCTTGAAATATCGAGATAAAACCAGAGATAAACCGCGAATATCGTTCTCGAATCTTACAAACTTCATCAAAAGTATTTCAGCAGTTTTTAATTCAATCTCTAGCGAAAAGACAGGTAGATAGATAAAAATTTAAAAGTACTGTAAAGATAGTCTGAAATAACAGGTAAATGCTTCCATATTATTTATATGCTGATAAAGTCATAGTCAAAATAATTTAATTTTGATTTGTACAAGAATTATTAGCGTTTTAAATTCAATTTGTACAAGAATTATTAGCATTTTAAATTTATGTCACGTATATGTTACATTTAAATATATGAATTGATACGTGTATACAATAAAATGATACCAAAAATCGGAAAAATAAATGATACTTCACTCTATCAGTTAAAAGCATCGATAAAAGTTTAACAACTTTCTCATAAACAACAAATCTGACTATTTTACTCCTGTTTTTTAGGAAGCTTTATTTTATTACTAAAATAAGAAATCAAGCTGGGAAAATTAGTATTTTTCGTTATTTAGAGAAATATAAAATTTAGCAAATTTTTATTTCGTCAAAATAAATAAAAGACATACTGATTTAATTTATATGTAAATGCTGTGTTCGTGATAGTTAAGAATCTCACACAACAATGTTCTTCTTTCAGCCATGGTTTCGTGGTTATTAAAAAACTTAACTTAATCACCCTACTAATGTTAGTAAAATAATTAGGATGAATTATGTTATACAACATTATAATGCATAATATAATGCACATATAATATCAGTAACAATGCTTTAGAAAATAAAATCTCATGATAGCTTTTAAAATGTACAATGATTTCATAGTTTTGATGGCGTCAAGTACAGTATATAGTCTTTACTGCGATTTGAAAATTTTCTTTTAAACAAAAATTTAGCTATATAGCCATTTATGTTTTTTGTAACTTTTCATATTTATCTAAATTATATTTTCAATATCATTTTGTTTGGTAAACTATTAGAGATATCGTATAATATACATATTGTATAATATCTTAAGTGTATAATTTATTTCTTTTTTATTATTTTAACTTTACAATTTAGAAAAGAACGAAGTATATTTCTTCAATCTCTCCTGACTGACTT